CCAGTTCCACTTCCTTCTCATCTCAACAACCCCTCCTCTGATTCTTTTGGCTGTTCACACAGTTCCCTGCCCTGATCTCCCCACAAGACCCTGAGCCTACAGTGCTGCTTCGCAGAGCAAATGGGCAGTTGGGCATGTAGGGACCAGGAGGTGTCTCCACTGGTGCTGTTCTGCTCAGAGTGGGAAGCAGACTCAGCCAAACGGGGTTTGTGGCCTCGAATCCCCCTCAGGATTCGAGGAGTCTGTGGATGTGTCAGGTGCTGTGGGAAGCCACTAGTTGTGTCCAGGTGCACCTCTAGATCCTGCCATTGTGACTCTCYCGTGTCCCTTCYCTGTGCCTGCTGTGTCCTCCCTGCTTCTCCTGATATTGCAGAGCTCTGCCTTGCCCCCAAATGCCTGGGTTTATTGTATTACCTTTAGGTGTCTCCATCTTGGAGGATCTCTCCCCATGGGAGGCTCCACTCACTGCTCTCCTGGCATCTCCAGCTTCCCTGTAGAAAGACAGGAATCTGACCCTGTGCTTTAACATGCGACAATGTAAATGCAGGCAGTGTAAATGCAGGACCACTCAACATCTACACTATTCCTGGTCCCTGATAAGTGATTCCCAAATCCACYCTGTGATCTCTGAAGAGATCAGTACAAGATGATGAGCTTTTTAGTTCTGAAGCCATGGAGAAAACTGCTCAGCAGGCCCTTCCAGAGTGCAGGTTCTTGGGCATATTATTGACACCAGCTGTGGAGGAAGCCCAGCCTTCAGGCAGTGCCCTGGGTAGAACCTTTATTAGTACACAGGAGCCAGTGAGGGAGTCAGTCCTGATCCACCTTTAGACACAAATTAATGGACCAGATGAGAGAGGGCAGTCTCAGAAAAAATACTAAAACTCCAAATGCTCGTGTAGCAAAATGATAGGCATTATTATTACTAATAAAATCCACAATAAAAATAACATGAAGAAACAGTGCTCAATCGAGCTGGGATACAGAAAGTGCAATTGTGGAGAAAAATGGCTATTTTACCCATASTAAAAAATGWCCATGAAATCATTTTTCTGAGGGCATCCTTAAGCTCCTTATTCCTCATGCTATAGATGAGGGGGTTCATTGCTGGAGGCACTATCGAATACAGGACAGCCACCACTAGATCTAGAAGTGGGGAGGAGATTGAGGGAGGCTTCAGGTAGGCAAAAAATGCAGTGCTGATAAAGAGGGAGACCACGSCCAGGTGCGGGAGGCACATGGAAAAGGCTTTGTGGCGGCCCTGCTCAGAGGGAATCCTCAGCACAGCCCTGAAAATCTGCACATAGGACACCACAATGAAAACTAAGCACCCAAACATTACACAGGCACTAATCACAAGAAGCCCAGCTTCTCTGAGGTAGGCATCAGAGCAGGAGACCTTGAGGATCTGGGAGATCTCACAGAAGAACTGATCCACCTCATTGCCTTCACACAGTGGAATGGAAAATGTGTTCCCAGTGTGCAGGAGAGCCCTGAGAACACCACTGTCCCAGGTTGCTGCTGCCATTATGATACAAGCTCTGCAGTCCATGAGGGTCCTATAGTGCAGGGGTCTGCAAATGGCTATGTAGCGGTCATAAGCCATGACTGTGAGGAGAGACAACTCTGCTGAAAAGAAGAATACTATGAAAAAGACCTGGGCAGCACATCCCNCCATGAAATCATTTTTCTGAGGGCATCCTTAAGCTCCTTATTCCTCATGCTATAGATGAGGGGGTTCATTGCTGGAGGCACTATCGAATACAGGACAGCCACCACTAGATCTAGAAGTGGGGAGGAGATTGAGGGAGGCTTCAGGTAGGCAAAAAATGCAGTGCTGATAAAGAGGGAGACCACGSCCAGGTGCGGGAGGCACATGGAAAAGGCTTTGTGGCGGCCCTGCTCAGAGGGAATCCTCAGCACAGCCCTGAAAATCTGCACATAGGACACCACAATGAAAACTAAGCACSYAAACATTACACAGGCACTAATCACAAGAAGCCCAGCTTCTCTGAGGTAGGCATCAGAGCAGGAGASCTTGAGGATCTGGGRGATCTCACAGAAGAACTGATCCACCTCATTGCCTTCACACAGTGGAATGGAAAATGTGTTCCCAGTGTGCAGGAGAGCCCTGAGAACACCACTGACCCAGGTTGCTGCTGCCATTATGATACAAGCTCTGCAGTCCATGAGGGTCCTATAGTGCAGGGGTCTGCAAATGGCTATGTAGCGGTCATAAGCCATGACTGTGAGGAGAGACAATTCTGCTGAAAAGAAGAATACCATGAAAAAGACCTGGGCAGCACATCCCGAGTAAGAATTGGCCCTCTTTCCCAGAGGGAATTGGCGATGGATTTAGGGACAGTGGTGGAGWTGGAGCCCAGGTCGAATACAGAGAGGTTAAGGAGGAAGAAGTACATGGGGKTGTGGAGGCGGTGCTCACAGGCTACAGCTGTGATGATGAGGCCGTTGCCCACGAGGGCAGCCAGGTAGATGCCCAGGAAGAGGGAGAAGTGCAAGAGCTGCAGCTCCCGCCTGTCTGCTAATGCCAGGAGGAGGAACTCATTAGTGGAGCGCCTGCTGGACATTAGCTCCATCCAGTCATGTGGAATTGTCTAAAAGAACAGAACATATTGAGATGTTAGGAGAGACTTTTCAAGAAAAAAAACTTTGACATCATTCAGCTTTCTGACACTGTCCCCTACCCTCCTGCAATTGCCTCTCTTTAACAAGAGTGTCAGAGTAAAATTACTTGGTTTGAACTGCATTTTGCACTAGCTGAGTGTGCAGTGAGGAGCAGAGACCYAAATCCCTGCACTCCTGGGAGTCTRTCCTGCCGAACACTAGTGGGCAGTGGGGAATGGATGTCACACACTTGGACATACATCTTTTATGGCAGGTGAGATCGATCCAAGATGTAGATGAGCTTTTCAGCATCTTTACTGACAAGAGTAAGCAAAGAGGTTTGAGAAACAATATTTTTTACATTTTTGAGATATCCTTGATACTCCTGGGGAGTATTCTGCAAAGGAAATATCCTTTGTGTTTCAGCTCTGAGTCCTTAGAGGAATGGCTTCAGGTCTGGCTTAGAGGAATAGCTGTAGGTCTGGCAGAGGAGGTGGCTTCTGCCCTGCACTTCCTTCCCCTTCCCTGCCCAACTCTGCTGTCTGCAGCTCTCCCTGCTGSCACCTCTTCCTCTCTCCCAATGTCCTGTCCCTGCCATTGCTCATAAATCCTATCWCACCCTTTTTGTGCTCAGTTCTGCCCTATGGAAACCACTGGGCAATGTCTGAGGGCAGTTCTGCAGTTGCACATCCTAACAATTACGTCACATAAAGGCCAATGAAGCTACAAAGTTGATACTGATGCTGCCCGTAAGCTAAGGAGTAGATGGAGCAGCTTGCGGAGGCTTCTCAAACACCTATTAATCTTTCAGAGTGAAGGCTGAGGACTCCCAGGTCCTTGCCAAAATAAAAATACTGTTCCTTCATTCTC